AATGAAGAAAGGGAATTGGGGAAAGAAAACTGGAGCCAGCAAAACTGTTCAACTGGCACTGGGGGAGGGCAATCGAGGAGGAGAAGCCATAGAAGGGAACTGGCGGAGGGAAACCGGAGCCAGCTAAACTGTTTACTTGGCCAGAACCCTCCATGTGAGACTGGACCTGGTCTCCCTATCTTCGCTAAGATCTTCCGGGCCCGATGAAGCAAGTGGAAATGAATCAGAACTCCTGAAACAATTATATGTACCTAGTATGTACCATGGCAGCAATCAAGCGTTTTCGGCCGAACTCCTGGTAGTTGTGTTTTCAGCTTGTGCACTAGCAACTCCAACAGTGGAAAGCTAAACAATAATAAGTTCTAGGAGAGCTCTTACATGCTCTTGCCAACCATCATCCATTGACACTGTACTGTGATCTGTCATGATCGTCTACAATCCAAAATCATGCCCTTGCAGCAGTTGACCCCCAAAAGCATTGTGGTTTCCAAGTCTAAATCCAAGTCTGAATAAACTATACCAAAATGGGCGAAAACGCAAACAAACACATGACGGCGAATCAATCAGCTGTGGTCAAAGCAACATCCGCAAGTTTGGGTAGGTCTTGCCCGTGTCAGATCAGGCTAGATCGATTGAGTCGACCACAGGTCAGGTCAGGACGTCCACTTGTGCGTGTGTTTCGTTCAATACGGCACAAGGGCCGCAGTTGAAGGACTCCACTTATGCATGTTTCTTCCAATTAATGCGGCGCAAAGGCATGCATGACCTTCGCCCAGTTTGCTTAGACAGCCACATCTGTGTTTCCAAACAAAAAAGAATTAAACTTACAGTAGATGGGGTTTGAGTCTGAGTTTGCTACATTATTCGATGGTCCGAAATTTGCATCAGCGTAGCAAACGTCGGCCGCAGCGGGGAAAGAGTTCATCTTGGGTGAATCAGCCAGCCTGGACCAAAAAGGCATCCAGGAAGATCGGCACTTAGCATGTTCTTCGACATTCCGCGCAGCAACAGTAAACTTGCTTAACTTAGCATGCAAGTCTGTGTCGGGCTCTGTCGCAGAGAGGATTTTGATACATTCACTGGCAAACAAATGAGCCTCCCTCACACGATCACAAAATCAGGACAAAAGTCAAAGCATTAACACGGCCTGAGCAGGCTTGGGGCAGAACTGTACTCCGATTTGTCATTTATGGTCCAAGAAAGCGCCCTTGCAAGGTGATTCTTTGTTCCTCCACTTTGCAAGTGGATGGATCGATAATATTCTACTCCACGCGGTCTGATATGAAAGGACCCGTTCCAAACCTTCATATCCACATATTGGTGTCCAGGTGTATTAAAGATCTGCATGTTGTGAAGCATGCAAAGCACTTTATAAGGGTTGATCAGCATCCGTCTGCTGGGGTAGGCATTGCACATGTCGGATCAGACTAGCTCGATGGAGTCGACTACAGCTGAAGGACGTCCACTTGTGCGCGTGTTTCTCATTTAATGGTACAAGCCTAGATGACCTTCGTCTGACCGTCGCACACCAAATCTTCGTTTGGGGACCATGATGGGAGTCCGTCTCATGGCAAACAAAAGAAGCTTGGGTGGGGAAAGGCCCTGGGTTTGAGTATGCGCTACATGTCATGGTCCGAAACTCACCTCAGCACAGCAAACGTCGGTAGCAGCGGAACAAGAATTCCAACAACAATGCATCCAGGAAGATCGACAGGTGGCATGTTGTTTGACATTGCGCGCAGCAAGTGTAGACTTGTTTGGCAGGTCTTGTTCGCGCTCAGTCGCAGGAAGGACTTTGGTCAGTTCACTGGCGAACCAATGAGTCTCCCTCCATATGAACATGAACACAACAGGAAAGGCTTGCGAGGCACTTGGTGGATGCCCGCAAACTTTTGCAGTCTTGAGAGCTCAGCGGTCTCTTGCTAAGTAGCATGGACTCTGACAATGTAGCCGTATTTTCAGATTGCACACTGGACCCTGCAACAGTGGAAAGCTAAGCCAAAGTATTTTCTAGGAGAACTCTCATCAACCGTCATCATCGTTGGCTCGAGCGCTTGGCAGCTACGCTTGAAGATGAGTTGCAATGAGTGGGGCATCTCCATGATGGACTTCATGTTGCCGATTCACCTCCAACTCCGGTTGCCCTGACGGTTGGACGTTGCTCGGGGTCTAAGTGTTAAACACCAGAATTTACAACAATCAGCCGCCGCTGTTTATGGCATTGACTCAATTAGTTGAGGTCGTTTGCATGAGGTTGTGCCTTTCGGTCGTCGATTCCGACTGACACAAAGTCACTGAATATGCATGGCGCGCAAGTGCATCATGCGATGGCGGACTCAGGATTTTGTGACTCCATGAAAGCAACGCCGGTTGTATCTTGGGGACTATACTCAGTGAGCAAGACGCTGCAACAGTGACAAACTAAATACACAATGTGAAATTGAAGCTAAACCAGAATATGTTGGTGCAGGACGTGGCAAAATGAGAAACAATCTTTGACCGAAGGACCTTTTCAAAAAATGTTCTTCCTGGATTGGACGTCCCGCTTGAGTGAGTTGCGAATTGCAACCCCCCTGGGTGGTGAAGTCGAGCATTGTGCCATGTCTTCGACTTGCAATGCGTGATGGTATCTTGATGTATCTTGGAGACTTGACTCAGTGAGCAAGATGCCGCTGAATCAAAAAAACAGTTCAGCGAGCAGCGAGGCCAGGAGCGTGGCAAATGGATCGTTTTCGGTCGAACTTTTGGTATCAATGTTTTCACCCCAAGCTGCTTCGTCTGATACTGAGATTTTGCCAGAGCAAAACAGCTTCCAATGCTCACCGTTTGGTACCTTGAGCAGCTCTTGTTTTTCGTGTGTTTCCACTCCATGGTGCCTTCCTTGAGACCAAACCGGCCTAGCGGTTTGTGGCTGTTTTGGGGCCAGGATCTTCCTCGTCGCGCGTTGGCTGCACTCATCTTCCGCCCTCTAAGTTGGGCCATTTAAAAAACAAACGTTGCAGCCTGCCCGTGTGCCACACCCTCGCAAGCCTCCGCAATCCTGTTGTGGCCGTCGTTTGCTCAGGGCTGCCATTTTTGGAAGATGTATGGATACTTACGGATGAGCGCTCGACGAAAAGTTGGAGGAAACCCAAAAAACGAAAAGTTGAGGATGCATGCGAAACTACTTCGGATGTGGCAGCAACAAGAGTCGGTAGAAGCTCGAAACGGTGGATACATCGGTGGACATCAAACCCTCATTTCATAATCTTTTATATGCTCATATGACGTCATCATTCGGCTGTCTTCTGTTTATAATGCAGTTTTGTGACTCAGCAAGCTGAGCGATTCTTTGGAAAACAGCCGGCCGCAAAGGATACAAATCATAGCGCGTCCACACAGTAAAACGGCGTATCCGCCCTTGAGCAAAGCTCGTGTTGGATGCTCCGGTCGGCCTGAGCAGAAAGAAAAAAACGTTCCAAATCTCAAACAACGTTCCGAAAGTTTCAAATCCAAAGTGTCCCTGTTTGTGTGTGGGTTCTCTTGCTGAAATATACAGCTGCAACTGATATAATCCTTCTTCGAATGCCCTTTCCCATGTGGCCCCCCTTGTTGCCTCCGCATTTCCCCCAGTTACCCTCGTTCCAGCACATCGCCCACACCATCTCCACTTGTGTCCAACATATTAAACCTTTTGTTGCCCCACAATCGCCAGTGATTGATTCGCTTGAATTTGACAGTGGATACCAACTAATAATCCCCTGCGAGAGTGAGTGAGTGAGGGAGAAACTTGTTTCTGAAGAAACCCAAAATATTCCCCTCGTCTCTCGCTACCTTCGAAACAGGGAAGTTCGGACCCACCGGGAGGGGATTTGGACACCGATAGCTTGTACCGGTGCTGGTGAGGAACAGGTCGAGCAAAGCGAAACATCAGATCACCCACAAAACATCACTAATGACGAATGACTCGCCTGCGTCAGAACTCCTGGCTCAAATCCCAACCCCCCAGAGGCGCCTCTTGAGATCATTTTGATCGCCCCAATGGTCGAAGCATCATGATTGATATTAACCGGTGTGCGACAGCTCTTCAAATGAGGCACACCATGGCGACGGCGGCATATTTGCTTGGGCTCTATTGACGGATAGCAAAGCCACTGCCTGACTGTGCTTCAACAAACTCTTTGCGGTCATGAGGTGCGCTTGTCACGGAGCTGGAAGCCTATCTGTCGGGAACATCTTTGCCTTATTATCAAATTATGCTGCTCAGTTTAAAAGCAATCTGAGTGCTTGCCGGATTCCAGGCTTTATATGGTCAATGCATGTCAATGCAACTGTCAATGCAGTATCGCATGAATATGGTGTGCCATGCAGGAACTCTAGTTTGGTATGCCGTTGGCAGGAGCGACTTCCCTTCGAGATCCTTCGAGTCCTTCTTTCAAACTCCTTCAAGCACATGATGTGTCAAAGGTTCTCCACTCGGGCCGGAGGCCGCGGGTTCCGCAAAGCCTTACCTGACTGGAACCTTCTCTCGCGCGTGGGCCTCGATCTAGGCAGTGTGAGAGGTTCATCGCAACTTCAGCGAGGGGGCGCTTAGAATGTCACCATGCCACCATGTGTTACCCAACTGCACAAAGAAACCCCTAACAGAATGTGTTTACATGTTTTTACATCCACGGCTTAAGCAACAGTCAACGTTACTCCCTCAGGGCTAGGGCAACTTGAGGGAGGCGGCCTCTCAAGTCGAATTGAGCCATTCTGAGTGAGTGAGACTGGTATGAGCTGGACTAGTTTTTGTAAGCTCGGTCAAGGCATGTCAAGGCCAAGGTGTTGAACTTCGGTGACGCATGGGAACAACACAACACAAGGCAAGTCTACTCTATTCCGCTATGGTTTGCTTTGTCACTGGCGCATTCAGGACCAAGCAGCCCTCTAGGACCTGCTTTGTAGACTGGGTCCAAAGAAACACCATGCACCAGTGCCACACATCCAACCTGCAGACTGGCCCTGCAGGCCGACCTCGCCGCTGGGCTGGCTCGGCCCGCCCGGATCCAGCTGCCCAGATCCATCCGTGGCACGTGACGCCTTCAGGCGCCGATCCGGCCCAGCACGGGTGGAGCGCGGGTGGAGCCGGGAACCAGAGCAGCCCAGCAGCCCGCAGCGAGGGAGGAGTTACTGCAGCGATCTGCAGCGCGGAACCAGCTGAAGCAGTTAGTGAGACATCTTTTAGCCTGCGAAGCTGGGACAGGGTTTGGAGCATTGAAGGGTTTTAACGAAACTGAGGTATAGTTGAACATAGTTGAACTTTGTGTTCCTCCTCATTTTGTCAGATATGTCACTTCAGCTGCTTGTGGTGTCCGTTGCACCTATAGAAGCAGCAGCTTCCGTCTTGACTCATCTATAAGCCACTTGACACCGACACCCGTATCTTAGGGCGCTCCGCTGGCTGCAGTGATATGTTCATGGCCTGGTTGATTTGCAAAGAGCGCTACGAACTATCTCAGGAGAGCAGGATAATCATGCTGGTGTTTCTTTTTAAGGTTCATCTGGCGATCGCCTGCCGGAAGAAAGAAGGCTTCATGTTCAAGCAAAGTAGCGCATATGTGCAGCGGCATTTATTTGGTATCAAACTTATTAATACACTATCTATTACGTGGAGGCCCTATCTCGTTAGACTACTTAAGTAGGAGGTCATGTCACAGTATCTCGTTCAGACTACTTTAGTAGCAAATCACACTGTCTCGTTCAGACTACTTTAGTGCAATCAAGCAAAGCATCTCGTTTATGTGGGGGCCCTATCTCGTTCACAAGCGAATACTGATGATAACAATTAAATAGAGCATGCCGTAGACTACTTTAGTAAAGCCTAAATAAAAGTGGCCGCTCATATATCTTTCTCCTTCATTCTTTCAACATGTGAGTGTGTGTGTTCTTGTTCCCCTACAGGAGTTGGTGAGCCTCTGTTGCGTGCTTGTTTTCGGCTAGAAACCTCAACATGTTGGACTAGAGACCGTGTCAAAAGAACGCATGTGCAAATGAAATTGAATGAATGTCCGTCTGCTTCTGGCAAACGAACTAAACACAAACTGGTGCACCTTCACTTCTTCGAATCCTAGTTTCGGAAGCCTAGTTGCAGAATCCCAGTGTCGAAATCCAAACAAATAGTTGCCGAATCGCAGACTCGGACTAAAAAAAAGCACAAATAACCAAAACACCACAAGGTATTTTTGCAGAAACGCTTGGCACAACGTGATGTCGCAGCTGGAGGATATGCTGCAGCGCCCGGTGCCCGTCCTTCAGGGCTTCCTCCACTTGCCTCTGCCTCGCGCTGGCAAGGGTCCAAAGTAAAGACCCAAAAACTCTTTGTTTGGATGGATGAAATACATCCACTGACCCCAATGTGTGTTCTTTTTCTGTTGTTTTTTTTTGCATCCCAAAAAACCATCGCAATGTATAATGTGTACAAAAAAACATGGAGTGTCTGGGTATTGATCCTGAAGTGTAGTGTACAGTATTTCTTCCGGTTATTTAAATCACACTCGTTATGATTCCGATCCACCACAATCACTAATAAGGAGGCGAACACAGGGATCCTGTACCTTGAGCCCAAGGGCTACAAAACGGCCCAAGCCTGTCACAGGCACACACATGTGATCGAGGCTTCCAAGGTTTCAAATCTACTGAGCCCCATTGTTGGCCAGCTACTGAGTCAAAGGGCAAGAGTAAAGCAGTGCGGGCTGTGGCTTGGTTTCCAAGAAGCATGATTGTTTTGTGCATCAAAGGGTTGCCTGGCTTTGTAGGGCAATGATGAGAAGCACACAAAGCCTGAATTTCAGATCTTAGATTTGACATCACATGTATGCTTCTGGCAACCGACACAGTGAAACAGGCCTCCAGAAGACCCATTCTTTGGCAAACAAGGGCACTGGTCATGTCTACGGTACCCATTACCATTACCAGTAACAGTGGGTGATGATGATGAGTGATTAGTGATTAGTAAATGCCTTTCTCTAAAATAGTGATAATTCTTTACCGACTGCTACAGGTAAGAACAGACCCAACCTCTAGGCTATCGTGTATCCATGTGTATCCCGTCTCCGACCAATGATGTCTAACCCGTACTCGATGTTTGTTCAGACTTCAGGTCCTTCGATCCGACTATCTCACCTGCCTGGCATCCTGTTCCTGGAGAATCTTCTTCTGCTCCTTTCAAGTTCCAACGTCCAAACCACGTCCTTTCAAGTTCCAACGTCTCGTACGGCTTTGGAGGATGTCACCCTATGGGCGGCCCATGTTGTTCAGCGGAACGGAAGGCAAAAGAAATGGCATCTGAAGTTGGATGTCACCGAAGATGTTCATAGTTGTAATAGCAAATAGAAAACGGTCTTAGAGTCTTTGAAGCTTCATGTGCCAACCTATGACTTCCATGTTTGTTTTTTTCCTGAGCACAGCCTGCCCATCTTATATAGGCATATACTTTCGATACTTTGCTGGACAGCTCCCATGGAGAATTCAACTAAAAGAGCTCATTGATAGACAACTGCTGTATGTTACCACCAATTGTAAGCATTCTCAAGAAGACATCTATGTAAAAAGAGCACCTTCTTCGGTCGTTTCCATTGGCAAGCCCACCAAGGAAGAAAAATAAAATAATGCAACAAAAACTTGCAAACATAGTTCCAAAGCACATGCTTCGATTCTGTTTCGGTCTCTGCATTGTTTACCACGTGGTTTTGCGCCGTGCAACTACCTCCGTTTCGGGCCCGTTTCGTCTTTCTGCGCTCCTCCACGCGCACGATGACCTCGACCAGGCCCTCGGAGGACCTTTAGGTCAGTCGGCGCCAAAACCAGTGGATGCATACAACAGGTGTCTATCAAGAACACAGCAAAACAAATGGGTTCTGAAGTTCAAACAAAACCCTTAAGTAGGGCTGCTCGGGCTCTCCTTCAAGCATCTTCTTAGCCAAAAAGATCAGAAAAACGCCTTGACACCCTGAACATGAAACATATTAGCGTCCTTGATTTCAACAGTTCTGGCACCCAAGATTTAGCTCTTGCCAGCTAAACACAAGCTTCTTTCACCTCTTTTCATCCCGTCACACACTGCCGTATCTCACAGCACCATTGGGCGCCACATCTTTTTCGCTGCCGCATGTACATGCGGCAGCGTCATTGCATGCACAGGGGGGCTCGAAGACAGCAACGAAGCCAATCGTTCCTGCAAACAAGGACGGCAATGGAGAAAGTTATTCTGATCCTGATCCCGAACATGATAGAAATGAAAGTGACCATCTTTATATAGATGTTCACTGGATATCGGCACTCTCCGCTTGGGCCGGCTCTACCAAAAGAAACAAACTTCTGGTTGTCATCGACATGAATCTGGCTCTGAATCCGAGGAGGTCGGCAACCTCCAGTATCTCAACAAGCACCATCCCAATTGAAAGAAATGCAGGAGAGAGATTGAACCCAAAGAGCCACACTTTTTCAAGTGGAAAACATCACTTTCCACTTCTAAGTGATGTCCACTTCCAAGTGATGCGTTCGTCGGGTACCCGTCTACGCTGTCTACGCGACATCGCCCGAGAAGACGCCAGGCCTGCAATTCGGCCTCCTTTTCCTCGACCTCCGCACACAACGGCTTGCTCCCGGGCCCAGCAATGGATTGAAGATATGGTTTCTGTTTTGCCCCACAAAATCCAACTCTCCTGAAGCACCTAAAACCACCAAAGCACCAAAGAATAAGGATCATTTTCCTGCAGTTTTTCTCCTGCAAGTTGCACATGCTGTGGTTTCAAGTTGCCACGGATGATTACAGTATACTTCCAGATTTTGGTCACCCATTCTTTGGAAACGGCGCGCCGTCTAACTCCAATATTGTCGATGGAGGGGTTGGCTATATAAGTGCACGTGGGTATTGAGCCGAACCTCACTTAGACTTAAACCAATCGCCATCCTGAAAAAAACACGCAGTGGCAAACACAACAAAGGGTGCAAACAAATTCAGACTCATTTTGTGCTGCAGGATGGTTTTGCTAGGATACCACATGCTCTCGTAGCTTGGACTTGGATTGGTACTATACCATCAACACAAATAAAACCTAATCATGGATGATATGATAGGTTTATTCGGGGCCTTCACCAAAAAACATACAATTCAGCATGTCGTCAATGAAGTTTTGGCGACCAGTTGGAATGCCCAAGTTTGGACCCTTATCCGGTTTGCCGAGTATATACTATGAATTGAATTGTTTTAACATGTGTATATAATATATTATAATATTGGTTGGTTGGTACTTTTTCATGCAATCTCACGCATCGTCTTGACCTGGTTTCAGCTAGTGGACAAGAAATGCGTCTGGATCTACAGCGGCAGATGTTCTGCTGGGTGCCTGGGTGCCGTAGATGTTGCCTGTGTTCTCTATATATTGTCGCGCCCCATTGGCCTTGAGCCATTGGAAGTAAAAGAGGGCAAAACTCGCCATCTCCACGACCAAACCATCAAAGCCTTGACCTGGATGAGAGGTTGTTTGGTGTAGGGTGTATGGAAAGAGGCTGCCAGTGCGTCGAGCCCCAGCAAACCGTCGAACGCCTTATTTCATAACCAGTTTCATAACCATAATATAACAAATAAAACGTATAACCACCATCATCATCATCATCGTCATCATCAGCAGCGGCAGCATTAGCATGAACATCAATCATCCGAAAAGAAAACTGTGAGTGGAATGGAGGCATTCAACATCTACAAACACCAGTGTTCAGAGTGTCAAAAAATGATTTGGTAGGTTGTTCAATCTCCAGACTCTTGGTGGTTTGGCATTTGGAACAGTCTGTCGTCAGTTGCAATATGAAAAAACACCAAGAAAACCACCCAGCGGAGTTGTCTTGACAAGTTATTCAACTAATCCTGGTCCAAGGAGTTTCCCGAAGGAGGATTCATTCCCTATCATCACTATGTTCTATGTCTTCGGGCCCGATTTCAAACCATGACCCCAAAAAAACATGCATATATAGACACCACGGGAACTGTAGGTTAAACGCCAGGATAGGCCAGGTCCATGGGACAACTTTCTGGATTTCCAGCGGTTCATCAGCGAGCCGAGCCGACAGTCCTAAACAAGACCTGAGACCTCATGGATGCACGTGAAGCGAACGATCCGATAGCACCCGCAAAGGCCGCTGGCCAATTTTGGCTGGAATCAAATACGCAAAAAATAATCCCGGAAAGAAACCCCAAACAGTGCGTGTGTGAGGTCTAGAAGTGTATAGAAGCAGAAAGTCTAGAGATCTAAACGCATTGGGGTCAGAGAGGTGATGGTGGTGATGAAGGTGCGGTGGTGGTGAGTGAGTGAGTGAGTGAGTGAGTGAGTGAGTGGAGTGGAGTGGAGTGGAGTGGAGGGGAGTGGAGTGGAGTGGAGTGGAGTGGAGTGGAGTGGAGTGGAGTGG